GGGAGGGGAGGGAGGGGGAGGGGAACAGAGAGAGAAAGGAAAGAGCGAGGAAGGGAGGCGGAGGGATCAACATGGAACTCCAGATCAACCTCCTTCATAAGCTATCGACAAATAATGGAAGGAAATAATGTCCTTGGTAACCTAATAAACTCATGGTTTAGGAACAAAAGACTGGACATAAAACCAGTCCAGGTTGCCCTTTGGTCAAACTGCTACATAAGGGACTAGTTACTAACCAGAAAGGTGCCAGAGATATAGTTCCTATTTATTCATGTCTTTAATTCTTTTACCTTAAATAGAGAAGTTGACAAGAAGCATTTTGAGGTCTTTGGTCTTAACAGTGCAACATAAAAGTATCACTTAGAATCCTTTGAGACTATGTTGCCTTGGTTGGTCTCAAATTCCTATACTCAACTGATCCTACTGCCTCATGGTAGCTCGACTACAGCTCTGTGCCATTGCCCCTAGCTCTAAACCCTTTATAACCTTACAGTAAGTGTTGGAAACAGCAGCAGTCCCACTGGGAAGGGAGCAGTACTATGTTTTTGAGCCAAGAGCCTTTACACAGAGTTATATCCTCAGTCTCACTAAGTCACTAAATTGCCGAGGTTGGGCTCAAACTTTCAGTCCTCTTGTCTCACCACCCCCACCTCCACAGTGATGGTCATGCCTGGCTAGCAGTCCCATTCTTAAAGAAAACAACCAACCTCCTGGCCTCTTGCAAATCAAGAGGAAGAATAAAACAGGTCACGCCGCAGGATTCAGAAAACTGTGCTCTAATCTTAATTCCCTATAAGAACCAGAAAAAAACAAACAGACAAAAAAAAAAGACTACAAAGGGACTGGGGAGATGACTCAGTAGGATAAGTGGTTGACTGGCAAAAGCAAGGATCTGAGTTCAATCCCCGGTTCAGTGGACTAAAGCGCCTGCTTAGGCAGAGCACAGTGGTCAGGGTTCGATCCCATCCCGATGTGCCATGCTGGCCCCATGTTGAGACAGTGATTGAGACTGGGCGTGGTGGCACGCCCCTGTAATCCCGGTGCCTAGGAGGCTGAAAACAGGTGAATCACTACAAGTCCCATCTGGGTAGTGAGACCCTGTACTAAATACACACACACACACACACACACACACAGAAAACTAAAAGACTAAAGCATTGGGCCAGGAAGATAGCTCAGCAGCATAAGCACCTGCCTGGCAAGCACAAGATCCTGCATTCAATCTCAGGTACCAAAACAATTTTTTTTCTTAAATCCTAAAGGATTACCAAAGAGCATGTTTATCAATTTCCAAGGACCTAAACACTAAAATTTCAAACAAGAGAAAGTCTTACTGATAGGCAGAACTCAAAGAGACTAAAAAAAACAGGATAATCTTTCTTTGTTCAAAGACAAGTATTTGCTGTTACTTTAAAAGGACAAGGGACTGCTCTCTTGATAATGCTCTTTATAGTCACCTGAGATGGGATTTTTACTGTGGTTCTTACAAGCTAAAAGAGCTAAGTCAAAAGAAGTCAGGCCTGTGGCTGAGGAAAAACGAGCTAATTAAGTATTTTTTCAATCCTCTTTTCAAAAGGGAAGCAGCAGCCAGATGTGGTGGCACATCCCTATAATCCCATCAATCAGGAAGGTGGAGACTCAAGGCCAGCCTGAGATACACACAATGAGTTCCAGGTCAACCTGAACTGCACAGAGAAACCCTGCCTCAAAAACACGCACAAAAATAATAAGGTCTTTATTGTATGAGACAGGATCTCCCTATGTAGTTCGGGCCAGTAGCCCAGATTAGTCTTAAACTCACGGCAATCCTGCTGCTTCAGCTTCCTGATGCGATGATTACAGGCATGCACCACCACACACAGACAAAAAAAAATAATAAGTGAGTAAATGAATAAGTGAATGAACAAGATTCCCAATTTGTCCCTTAAACTAGAGCAGATTAAGACAAAGACTGTCAAGAATAATCTGATGCCATTAACAATTCCTAAAATATATATATAATATAAAAATATATATATATAAAATAAAATAAAAATTCCTACGTCAATTTTCAATCCCTGAAAAAGCCGTATGCAAATAGCAAAAAAAGGATATGACTTGAGATATGTACAAAAGATAACTACAAATATTCCACCCAACTTACACACACACACACACACATACACACACACCCAATAACATGATTGATCATTCCCAAAAAGTGAGAAGGGAAAATCACTTAAATAGATTTTCTCTGCTTAATTTTAAACATAATTATACTTAATAATTATCCATAAAAATCATTTATACTATGCCACAACCCAGTGGTAACTCAGTTACTCTTCTCTCATTGCTGGGACAAATACGCAACACCCAAAATGAAGGAAGGAAGGTTTATTTAGCTCACAGTTACTGGAGTTTTCAGTTCACACTTGGCTGGCTCCAAGGGAGAGCAGCATGTGGTAGAGAGCAACCTTTCATGGTGGTGGCAAAGAGCTGAGAGCCAAAGGGAGTAGCAGCAGCTCAGGCAGCTAGCTAGCCACTCTCCCCTTACATTATAATGCAAATCACCTGCCCACAATAATCAATAATAAACTCCAAAAGCCACCCCAAGACTACATGAGGCTTTGGGGGGACAACTAGACACAATCCGTAACATTCCACCTCTGGACCCCCAAAGCCTCATGCACATCCTTTCAT